AGGACCAAATGACTTCGACTTTGTTAAAGTAACCCAGAAGAAAATATCAGTGTTAAGACTAGCTGAGGGAACTGAGTACAATTACAGTGTCGTAAAGGAACTAGCCGGACAAGGGCTTCTCTACATTCGCATGAAGAAAGCATACAACTTTGTTTTAAACGAATCAGACTCAGGGCAAGATCAGTCTGATTGGCTTTATGAAGATTTACTTGAGTCTCACAGGCCAGCTCAAAGACCCACCAGTAAAACTACATGTCATGATCAGACAGGGGAGTTCACTGGTACAAGTACAAGTACAAATACCAGTACCCAACAAACGGAAGAGCCGACAATTACCACTGATCCTCAAAGAGATAAGTCCCTGACATGCCAAACGCAGTAGAAGAACAGTGAGTTCTTTTACTAGATTATCAGTGAATTTCCATCAGCAAGCATAACAGAGCCAACTGAAATGTTGAGATACTTGCAGGGCAAAATTGTACAAGGCCGACCCTTGGTTGTCATAGATGATGCCACAGAGCACGTAGGAGGCACTAACTTTATGGCAGTTGAAAGTGACAATGTCTTGGAAACAACCTTTGATGAACTACGGTCAGTGGAAGATCCAAAAATTACCTTCCAAGTAGAGTTTTATGGTGAGCAGGCTGAAGATATTGGAGGTCCAAGAAAAGAGTGGATCAGGCTTTTCAACCAACAGATCAAGGCAAAATATTTTGATCATGGACTTAAGGAACACTTAGCAGAGGATTACTATTTTGTAGGGCAGAAGACTGCAATTGCCCTTTTACACAATGGGCAGGCACCAAGCTATTTTTCTGAAGAACTGTTGAACGACATTTTTGTTAGTGATGAATTAGCAAGTTCAAAGTGTGTTTTGAAGCTTCTTCAAGGACTAGATACTCTTGGAATTGACATGTTTGCCCGAAAGTTCCCAATGTTCCTTTACCTGCTTAGACCACCCCAAAACAATGCCAAATTGACAGTTCCACTTATCCTTCATCTCCTTAAACCCACGCTCTCGGAGGAAGGCTCTAACAGTCTAAAGTATGAGAAATCTGTTTATAGTAAGTTTGTCAAGTACCTGCGAGATGTGGCAAGTGGGCGTAGAGTGACCACATTGGAAAACATCTTGGAATTTGTCACAGGAGCAAGTGAAGAGCCACTGTTGGGCTTTACCCAACAACCAATCATTCATTTTATAGTTCCCTATGTGCCCGCAAAAGAGACTACAGAAGACAACATCAGTGAAGAACAGGTAAACAATACTATGTAAATGATGACTATTGTGTTAGCCACTCCAAGCTTATGGGTGGTGTCACCAGACCTGCAAATGTGATCACCAAGCCTTTTTTTGAATTGTAAATTATAGTTATGAAGTTTCAAAGCAGATTAGCGGTAAAGTATTTTGAAAAATTAGTGCAACAAATTTTGAGCACAAAGGAGTCTTATTTTCCATTGTCTGTGCTCTTATCAACCACAGAAATGACACTGAAACGTTCAAAATTTTGTGGAATCCTATGGTGTGATCACACTGTAGCCAGTATAGAGGCAGCCTAAAAATGGCGACAATGGCTTCACATTAAAAAAACACTTTCTCTGGTACAAAATTAATATTTATCTGCCACACCCCTGGTTATGGCTCAAAAAGGTCCTGTTTAGTAGTCCGGGACAACTAGATTGTCGTACTTGTCCTATTGGCAAGGGCCTGGCAAGTCATCTTCCAACTAAATCGTAACCTCAAGCACTCATTCAATGACCTCAAGCTAGCAAAATGTGAGAACGGCTTCTTCAAACAAAAAGCTGGAATTCAAGTTTTTTGAAGTGCTGCTACATGTATTACTGTTTGTTTTCCAGTACATGTATATGAGATTTTTGATTGCTCAACAGTCATTTTCACTCTGTTATTTTTTCCAGGGTACACAAAAGAANTGCCACAGAGCACGTAGGAGGCACTAACTTTATGGCAGTTGAAAGTGACAATGTCTTGGAAACAACCTTTGATGAACTACGATCAGTGGAAGATCCAAGAATTACCTTCCAAGTAGAGTTTTATGGTGAGCAGGCTGAAGATATTGGAGGTCCAAGAAAAGAGTGGATCAGGCTTTTCAACCAACAGATCAAGGCAAAATATTTTGATCATGGACTTAAGGAACACTTAGCAGAGGATTACTATTTTGTAGGGCAGAAGACTGCAATTGCCCTTTTACACAATGGGCAGGCACCAAGCTATTTTTCTGAAGAACTGTTGAACGACATTTTTGTTAGTGATGAATTAGCAAGTTCAAAGTGTGTTTTGAAGCTTCTTCAAGGACTAGATACTCTTGGAATTGACATGTTTGCCCGAAAGTTCCCAATGTTCCTTTACCTGCTTAGACCACCCCAAAACAATGCCAAATTGACAGTTCCACTTATCCTTCATCTCCTTAAACCCACGCTCTCGGAGGAAGGCTCTAACAGTCTAAAGTATGAGAAATCTGTTTATAGTAAGTTTGTCAAGTACCTGCGAGATGTGGCAAGTGGGCGTAGAGTGACCACATTGGAAAACATCTTGGAATTTGTCACAGGAGCAAGTGAAGAGCCACTGTTGGGCTTTACCCAACAACCAATCATTCATTTTATAGTTCCCTATGTGCCCGCAAAAGAGACTACAGAAGACAACATCAGTGAAGAACAGGTAAACAATACTATGTAAATGATGACTATTGTGTTAGCCACTCCAAGCTTATGGGTGGTGTCACCAGACCTGCAAATGTGATCACCAAGCCTTTTTTTGAATTGTAAATTATAGTTATGAAGTTTCAAAGCAGATTAGCGGTAAAGTATTTTGAAAAATTAGTGCAACAAATTTTGAGCACAAAGGAGTCTTATTTTCCATTGTCTGTGCTCTTATCAACCACAGAAATGACACTGAAACGTTCAAAATTTTGTGGAATCCTATGGTGTGATCACACTGTAGCCAGTATAGAGGCAGCCTAAAAATGGCGACAATGGCTTCACATTAAAAAAACACTTTCTCTGGTACAAAATTAATATTTATCTGCCACACCCCTGGTTATGGCTCAAAAAGGTCCTGTTTAGTAGTCCGGGACAACTAGATTGTCGTACTTGTCCTATTGGCAAGGGCCTGGCAAGTCATCTTCCAACTAAATCGTAACCTCAAGCACTCATTCGATGACCTCAAGCTAGCAAAATGTGAGAACGGCTTCTTCAAACAAAAAGCTGGAATTCAAGTTTTTTGAAGTGCTGCTACATGTATTACTGTTTGTTTTCCAGTACATGTATATGAGATTTTTGATTGCTCAACAGTCATTTTCACTCTGTTATTTTTTCCAGGGTACACAAAAGAAAAGGATCACTACTGATTTCTTGCCTAAGGCCCATACTTGTTCTAATACTTTACATTTACCAAGAGGAACCCCAAACCTCCCTCTGCCAGCAGACAAAGAATTGTTCAAACTTTATGACTATGCTTTCAAGAATTCATATTTTGGGGTTGTCTAACAAGGTTCCTGACTATAAGTTTTATTGATAATATTCCTGGTCAGGCAGGATTACACTTCAACATGTTAAACCCAAGCAGCTCACAAATTTGCTAATTGTTATTGAACAATTAGATGGACCTAAAGTACATCGGTTTATTAGTTTTTGCAAATTTAAAATGACTAGCATCAAAACTCAACTCTGTCGTTTTTGAACTTCCCCCTTTTCCCCACTGGTTTTTTATTCAACGTTTCCAAGTTTTCTTCAAGGTTATGAAGAACATGCTTAAAAAGGGTTCTCATTGATTTTAGAATTAATTACAATGAATAACACTTCTTTAAGAGAAGTAGATATTATTGTGATTTGAAAAATCTTACTGGGAATAGTTCTACTTCCAATTAAGCAAGGTTACTTTTAATCGGGAGCAAGTGATTGGAAAATATGTATTCAAACATTTTAAGCTTACATGTCTTAACAGTTGGTACCATAATTTCACATTTAAAGTTATTCATGAAAATTGATCGAAATATGAAATAAGAAAAGAAACCACTGAAAAGTTGGTATTTAAATGATGAACCATTTCACCCCCAGAGTGAATGATGGAGTCTTTTGATGTGACTCTACCTTTTGAGCCTGTGTACAAAATCCTTACCATTCAAATGAAAACTCTTTTGCAGTACTTTCACAAAGTACAGTTTGTTTTCAGATTTTTACAAAATATATTGTACAATTTTGTGCAATTTGGATCTAGTTGGCCACTTCTGGGAGTGAAAGGGTTGAATTTAATATTAATGTTAATGTTACTGTTGTCGCAAAACTTTGAACATGCACTAGTAATATGATACTGTTATGAACTTATGTAGCCAAAAATTAAATAAGCTGACTTTTAATTTCTGACATTGAAAAAATTGATCAACGTTGGACTGAGGATCACTTTCTTCAATAAAAAGTGTTGAATAATTTAAATACCAGATTTTTTTTGTGTACACAAGTCCACTGTTTACAGGAAGTCATTATGACTCCTGAAGGAGGATCATGAGTTATACAGATATTTAGAAATTTCCATAATCCAAGTAGTGCCCCTCCCTGCTTCCCAGGTTAACATTTGGCCATTGGCATTTTGTTCATCACTCATGATGACAGTGAGAACAAGTCAATAACATTGTTCAGTGGCAATACTGTCTTCTTCAGTGTTCTTGCTCTAACTTATGAACTATAATTTCAAGAGCTTTAGCATAAATGTCCACACCAAAACTAGAAGACTCCTGTAAAGGATCAACAGCAGTAGTTAAATAGGCCACCAGTTCATCAGTGTTGTTGCTTGGTAGCTGGGCAGGAAACACTTCAACATTGTTGTTGGATTCTTCAGTTGGTATCGGTGCTTCAGGATCTTCTCCATAAAATGTCATATCTTCAGGCTCAACGTCATTACTGCCATTAGCAAGAGGATTGCATGGATGCATCATCCCATTCAACCACATTTGATTTGGTGACCAACTGTGCTCTGTTTGGACAGGATGGTCATTGAAAGAGACCATCCATTCAGATAAAGCATTGTTTATTCTTGCCAAATAGACATACTGTAAAGTAAACATGTGAATAGGGTTTTCAACATCCAAAACTCCAGTTTGCTCCATTGCATAGAATATGTAGTAAAATACATGGCAAATACATCTGAAAACATCTCTCCATAATCTCTCAATTCTCTGATTTCTTGTGGATGAACCAGCAATGAAACTACCCCGACCTTCTCCCCGAACAGCTACCATTGCATCACATACAGCAGTGTTCTCCACACCATAATCTACCCTGATGCGAGAGGGCCATAACCCACCATCTCGTTCCACAGCACTTTCAAAGAGACCAAGAACTGTTGAAGCAAGATTATTTGTGCTGCAATGAAGGAAAATAATTCTTCTTGAATAACCATCGATGCATCCGTGTATTATAAAGCCCCAGCGAATCAAAGAGTGATGACCATCTAAATGCCATAACGAGTTTGGCCACGGGACAAAATACACTCTCCTTGACACTAATGCACCCCACCTCAATGCGGTGTTCCTTGGATCTACCCTGTTTAAACTCTCTCTGATCCTCCTTCTCTGTATGGTATATCCCAATGCTCTAAAGTATCCACGGAGGTAGGATTCTCCTGTGGTTGACCCATGGCGTGCAATGTAGTCACGAATGATATCGTCGATTTCTTCATCAGTGATGCTACTGAAGAGAGAGAGATTTTCAAGTTCAAATAAACGAACTCGACGCATAATTGTCCAGCGCGACACTTTAAATATACTAGCAATCTTTTGCCATGTAAATCCCAGCCCTCTCAACTCTTCGAGTACCTCAGGCAGAATGTGAACCCGTGGTCTACCTGGGCCTTCACTCTTGTCCAATAGACTAGGGAATGTTATTACTTGCGAGGTATCAGATGCCGTGCTTCCAAAATGATGAAGGAACTTTTCAAGTAGTTCAGAAAACACCACTCTTAAATCGCCTAACAGTTTCAGATCAGTTTCGTCTGTGACTTCAGGGCGGAAAAACGTTCTGCGCAAGCTTCTGCGCATCTCTTATCGCAGGCTCAAGGCGGGCTTTTTTGTGTTTTGACCGTGTTCGACTGCGTTTGTTTGTCGGCGAGTGAGTGAGAGTCGGTGAATGAAATGTACAAGGTGTGAACGTTTGCTTCTCGAAAAGCCTTTTTACCTTTGTGTGGTTTTTGTTCTTCGTCACTTGAAAATTACTTTGGACTCAGAACAACCAATGTTAAAGCAAAAACGGATCATTCCGTCAGTCTGAGGTGGAATAAAAAGTTTCGAGCATTTCCAAAGACGCGAGTACCTTTCTGATTGTGCATTCGATTTATTTGTGAGTTGATTTCGCTTTCTTTCGCCGGGCTGAAAAACCCGCTTGTATTCCGTTTACTTAGTAAATACTTTTTCACGTGCCCAGATTTATTCCCTTTGCAGAACCAGCTTTATCCTTCTCTTCAGCAAAGAACCATTTGTGCGCCGTAAAACTTTCTCCGAAATAGAAGGCCAGTAAGCTTACTCGAAAAGAAAAGACTACTTCGATCATTTTTCTGTTGCTCAAGTAATAGTAGTCAGAGTTTTCTCCACTTTTAATTACATAGTTTTGTTTTCCAGTGCACTGTGAAAGTTTCTGTTCTTTATAAGAAATAACTTTCTGTACGCAATTTTTCCTTTTCACTCGCTGTGAAGTAGAGAACGACAACTGTCGGCAATGACTTCAAAACAATTGACTCTGCTCGTAAACAATTGCTGGAGCTGGATTTGTCTGAGGCGATCACAACAAATACCCTTATGTGCAGTTTTCTGTATTTTCTAACAATTGGCTGAGTTTAATTTGCTTGAATGAAGACCCTCACATGGACCACTGACAAAAACAACTACAGGTGTACAAGGTGAATCATGGTTCAGCTGCTAAGCTCACTGCAACTGATCTTTTGCTTTTAAGATCTTTAGGTAGGTTGTTTTCGTACCAAAAATTCATTTCTTCCTTGTCAGCAAGAGGTTTTTGCAATAATGTAATTTTAACTTTGTTTGAAGGAAATCCTACTTACGCGTAAGTTTTTGACAGATGTTATGCACGTTCAACTGGTTGACAACACAAAGCATAATTTATATTTATCTCTTAGTACGCGAAACGATCGAGTTTAAAAATAAACTTTAGTTGCTTTGAAACCCATTTTGGGGAAGATTTTACAAGATAAAGGTGGACTCTTTTTCTGCCCACCTATCGACGCCGAAGCTTGACATAGAGGATTTTGTTTAAATTTCAGTGATCTGCAAAGCTACAAGTGTCCAATCGAGCGTGGGTTTAAAATATCAGCTTGAATGCGACAAAGTTCAGCGACTTCAAACACACTGTGGGCATGCGTTATATTTTTTGGGCAAATCACTGTACAAAATTATTTTATTTTTGTGTCCACAGTGGGGCTCTGGACCTTATATATCCAGAAACTTCCTTATATGAACATATCTTGTGAATGCATCTTGAAAAAAGTAGGACCTACGCATACACATTTCCAGTACAACGCAAGGAAATTAATGTCGTTAAAGTCAGTTTTGTTATATGGTATTCTTCGAGAAAATTAATCCAGGTTAAGAGTGGAAACGTTTTATTATTAGGCAAAAAAAGTTTTGAAATCCCGCCATTTTTTCAAACCCGGCCAGGGGACCTGGGCAAAAAAGTTCACGCATGCTCATTACGTTTTTCCGCCCTGAAGTCTGCGACTATCCTCGCCAATTGAGCTAGTAATCTTACCGTTCTCTCTAGTAGATCGACATGGGTTGAAATACGATGTTCCCCGCTTACATTTGAAGAAAGAAACTCTCGATTCCTAAATCATCACAAACATCGATCATGTCTTCCGATTCCGCCATCTTTTTTGCGGGAAGAGTGTTCCCCAGTACCACGCGTTTGTTTTTACTTGTCCCAGTCCCCGAGATTAAATGAATGAGTGCCAACATTGAAAGAATATGGGCTGAATCAATTGAATGAATGTATGTCGTTCGAACTGAATAAAATGCGGTTGAATAAATTGAATAGACATCAGTGATCAAATTAAAAATATATATCTATTTTAACTTGAACGAATACGGAAGGATTGAATTGAATAAGTATCAGTGTTGAGATTGAATGACATTGAATAAATATCAGTTATTAAATTGAAAGATTGGGGATTGAATTGAATGAAAATTGAGGATTAAATTGAATAGAAGTAAGCAAATAGCAAAAAAAAGGTATTAAATTGAATGCATTTATAAATATTGAATATTGTTACATTTGGCTCGGCATAGGCGTCGGTTGGAATTTGTTTTGGTTCATGGGTTTCGCCTATAGATTTACACACTAAGGCGCTGCTACATCGTATTTTGAAATCAACAAATATCATTTTGTATTGGAAGGAAAACGCCCCTTGGTAGGTGGTACAACTCCGCGGTGACCTAAAAGAGGCAGTTTTTGCGGGAAAGATGTTTGGGATTCGCTTCGGAGGAGAG